TAGTAGCTGTTGGATTTATTTCTCATGGTCCCTTGCTATTTTTAAGGAATCTTTCTTTTTGTATTTGCTAACCACCATCCTGATTCTATATATGAAGTTCTGTCTTCACATTCATTTATTCTGCCTTGGAAACTTTCAGTAGAATTTTAATTTCTTGGATATGTGCTTAGATGTGTTTTATGTTTTCCATTTCTTTCCTGTGTTGGGTATTCACGGGTTTCCTCTATTCTTTTTAAATCTGTATTTGCTGTAGAGTTATTAATCATATCTTTTATTATGGTCATCATCTCTGTTGTTATCTGAGAAATTATTTCTGATTTCATTTTTTCCAGAGCCTCTTTCATCTGTTTTATTACCTTTTACCAGTAAAGGAGGTCCAGGTGGTTGGCTTTTAGATTGTTCCATCTCATTGCCCCTTGAATTTCCTTTGGTGATCTGGAAGTCTGGGTTTGTATCTTGTTTAGGTGTCCTCTCATTCCTATTTTTTGTTGTTGTTGTTGTTAATTTTTTAAATTTAATTCCTGCTTTGATGTTTGCATATTGCTTATTGTGAGTATCTTTATTGCTAGTATTTAGGACCCTTAGGGACTGATTACTTTTCAGAGGTGTCTTTGAGGTATAGCTGATCTTTGGGTTCTGAGTCTATAATGAGGGCAATCTCAGTCTTAGTATACCAGCAAGAACAACTGACTAGAACAATCAACTCACCTTGGCCAAAGTAATACAATCAGCATCAACAATAACATCAAACACAGCTTAGAAAATGACATGTTGTGGTAACTATCTGTCAGTTTCAACTGCATGACTTGTGGTTATATGTCAAAATCTAAGGCCAACCAGAAATATGTTTGCAGTAAAATAGCTATTCAGTATAGCGAATTTACCTTCTGGGAAGAAGACTTAGAAGGAGTTGGAGGGGGCAGTAGAAAAATAAAAGGAGAGGGAAAGGTAGAAGTAGGGCTAGAGAACACAGAAAAATCATGGAAATTTTGGGAAACTGGTGAAGACAGGAGGACAAGAGAGAATGAAGGAGCAAAACTAACAACAGACTAAGGGCAAAAGGGGAACTAGAACCTGTATCCACACTTTTATAGAAAGAAGAACAATCAAGAAAAAAACAAAACAGGAAAAACACAAACAAGAGAGGAGAAAAACGAGAAAGAGAAGAAAGAACAGAGAGAAAAAGAAAGAAAAAAAGGAAAAAAGTCCCTTTCAAAGTGTGTTTTTGCTCACAGCTAGACAAAGTGGACAGCAGTGTGCAGATACGAGTCACTTAGTCTCAGCCATAGCATACTGAGATTCAGGCTGCTTTCTGATTTCAAGGCCAGCATTGAGCTCCCTGACCTCCTGTGGGTTGAACTCTTTAGAGTTCTGCTGCAGGTTTGAGTGGCCCCTCCCTGACAGCAAGTCTGGGTTCCCATAGAAGGTGCTGATCTCAACCACTCACCAACTGTTGTAATCTGTTGCTGCGTTTTTATTACAGTGGTTATCTTCAGTCTCCTGGTGGGCATTACTTCTCAGCAACAAGCCTTGGAGAGGCCCTCTCTCTGTTGTTCACCATTCTGCCATCTTCCTGAGCTCAGAACCATGGTCTTTCTACTCTCTGACATTGTCTAGATCTGGCTGTCACTCTTGTGAAGGGCCCTGCTGTTGGTGGTGGACAGGCAGGCAGCCCCATTGCTGAATGGAGTGCAGGCCTGGTGGCCTAGGCTGCTGAATGGCTTACAGGTTGGGTGGCCCCAGGTGCTCTTACCTAAATTTTAAAAAACGTATATGTATAGCTTAATAAAATCTGATAGCAAAATAAATAAAAAAGTAAAAATTAAAACCTGATAGGCAATCATTAATTCTCACCTCCTCCAGAGCAAAGTAATACCTGTAGACTGCTTTGACTGTGAACCGTTCTTTCCCTTCTTGCATATGACTGTTAAGTACTACTTTAATTCTTCCTTTATCGGAGTCCAATGTCCTCCAACTGCCTAGAACCGGGGATGGGGAGGGCTAAAGAAAAAGAACAAAGACTTGTGTAAGTTCAAAGTATATGGAGGGCTAGGAGGCCAGTGCGTCAGAGTGGGCAAAGACCAAGACTCTCCATCCTAGCCAGCATTTATTGGGTACACACAATAATTGGAAGGAGTATGGGTGACTTAGGGAAACATGGTGATCCTATGTTGATAAAAATCTCATGCTGATGAGGGTGGAAAGAAGAGCATTCCCAGGACAGTAGGTGGGATGAGTTAAGCTGATAAGGAACTTGTCCCTCCCCAGGTAAAACCTTTCACTTTTTGTATTACTACTTGGATCTCAAGGAACCAAGATGTCTTAGCTCATGTCATCTTTTTTTTTTTTTTGAACTGGGGATTGAACTCGGGTCCTTGTGCTTGCAAGGCAGGTGCCGGAACCACTGAGCTAAATCCCCGGCCCTCATGTTGTTTTGCTACTGAGTGTCACAGCTTCCTGGACCACTTAGGCCTCAACTGTGACTGGAGACAAAACAGAGTTGTATTTTCACAGGCTTTAGCTGGTTCTCAACTCTCAGGCAAGGCAAAGTTGGGGCTTAGACAACTATCATCATACTTCAATTATGAGATGATTTTTCTGCACAATTTATGCAAAAATGCCCTCAACATTTCTTATTTATTAACCCCTCAAAAACTTTGCCATTATTTTCATTACAGGAATCTCCATAGATAATATTGGCAGTATTTCTCTCCCTTTACAATCTTCTTTATACCTCATGCCTCCTTTCTTGGTTCATTTTCTTTCTTGGTTAAGCACAACTCTGAGTAGCTCTTTCATTGGAACATTGAGAAGTAAACTCCATGTCAGTCTTTGTATGTCTGAAAACATCTTTCTTTTATGCTTACTCTTAAAGGAATCTTAGATACCCACATGCAGTAGTATACTGGCAGAAGTTTTAGTTTTTATCTCTGCAGGGATTGGATAGGTTTCTCACTTTCAGTCTAATTTTCATGTTAATCTACTCGGGATTTCAGTACCACCTTGGGAATGTGACTAGACCCCTATGCTTGCCTGTGATTCAAATTTAGGATGCAAATTTGTTTTAGGTTACTACTTTCCCCCCACGGTCAGAAGAACTTGGCCCAGCTTTTTTCCAACTCATTAGCAAAATTTTCAGACCCTATCTCAAAAAAACAGGTCAGCCTTGTGACTGAGCATGATGCATTGTCCGCAGTTCGAGTTCTCTGGATTGTGGGCTGAGACCTCATCTGGCCAGGCCAGGACTACCTCACAAGCATATACCCAGTGCCAGGACCCTGAACACCCATCAGCTGCTCACACGCAGATGTGAATTGCAGTTTTGTTTAGAGAACTTGAGGATTTTCCTTCATTGCTCTTCATGTGTGAAGAAACATTTAAATTCTATTTTATTGAGCATTTCCATGTGTTCACCCTTGTGTAGGGCACTTCCATTGTTAGCCCTGTCGAGCACATTGGTCAGAATTTAGTCATCTTTCTGAACCTTGATGTGACCTGATTACTCCCTCAGTTGACTTGCAGACTTGTTACACTGCTTCCTTTGTTCATTCAGCAAGTATTTATTGCATGGGGTGTCTGTGCTACAAACTGGGAATACGTACCAGAGTGAGGAAAATACAAAATTTCTGCCCTCGTGAGTGTATTGTCCTTCTTAGAAAACAAAGTTCAAGGCCGGGGATTTAGCTCAGTGATTCGGTGGCCTGCCTTGCAAGCGCAAGGACCTGAGTTCAATCCCGGTACCCCCCCAAAAAAGAAAGAAAACAAAGTTCAGCAAATGAATAAAAATGCTAACTGTAAGGTTTTAAGGGCAGCTCAGTTGTAGAGTATCAGCATAAGACCTTGAGTTCAATCCCAGCACCGCAAACCAGAACACCCTCTTTGTTCCTGCTGGACTTTGTGCATCAGAGTGTAGTGTGGACAGCTGTTCATACCTTCAGCTTCTACCTTAAGAGATGTCTACCTTTGTTGTCCCTAGCTTATAACACACTGCTTTATAGGGGAGGCACAGAATGTATGTCAACTGAATGAATGTAATTTTTTTTAGCAGTTGATGGTTAAAGCTTCTTTTGCAGTGACTTTGTAACATGCCTTCTCATAGATAATGTTTTCATGCTATTTAAACTGCCAGGGTAAAGAAAAGCAGCAACCTAAGGAAGAATTTGTTTGGTTAAGAGTGGTCCCTAATATAGAAAAGGAAAATTGAGAGAGGTACTGTAGGCACTCGCTGTTACTGAGTTACTCGCTGTGGTGAGTTGAATGATGGCTCCCCAAAAGTCCAAGCCAAGTGTGGTGGCTCATGCCTATAATCCCAGCCCTCAGGAGGCTGAGTCAGGAGGATCATTGTGCATTAGAGGCCAGCCTCAGCTACATAGTGAATTCAAAACTGAATTCACTACCTAGAAAAACCCTGTCTCAAACAAACAAACAAACAAACAAAAAATAGCGAAACAAAAAGTAAATCCATATTCTAACTCCTGGAATCTGTGACTGTTGCCTTATTTGGCAAAAGCATCTTTACAGATGTAATTAACAATCTGGTGATAAGATCATACCAGGTTATTCTAGGAGACCTGAAGTCCAGTGGAAAATACCCTTTTAATGGATAGACAAGAAGTAAACAAGAGACAGGGAAGGCCATGTGGATGGAGATGGAGACAGGTTGGAGTTGTGATTCACAAGCCAAGGAATGCCTGGAGCCACCGAAGGCCGAAGAGGTCAGGAACACTACCATCCTTGGACAGCGCACCCCTCCCACGTCTATATTTTGGACTTCTGGTCTCAGGAACAGTTAGGGAATGAATTTCTGTTGTCGCAGGCTACTCATTAGGAAACAAACCCACACCCTTCACAGTTACACTACACTGGCACCTTCTATACCATGGATGTAATACCTTCCTCAGGAGCCCCTTGGCATGATTATGTGAGACGTGTGTTTATAAAGTATTTAGCACATGATAAATGTCCCAAAATATTGATGACTGTTTATCCTCCTCTTTAAGGACATTTTCTTCCTTTTGTGAATAAGAACTCTGACAACACAGTGAAGAAAATTCCTGTCCTGGGACTGCCTGGTGAGTCAAAGCCCACACCATGAATTTAACTTGTGAGCTTCAGCTTCTGCTTTGGTGCTGGAGCTCCCAGACCTGGCACCTTCTACCAGTCCCCAGTGAGGGTTTTGTAGCAGCAGGCAGAGTTCAGCTTCCCACTGTGGGCAGGGGGAAGAAATCAACAGAGAGACTGCATTTAAATGACACAACAGAGCAGAGGGCAATTCCTCAGGGTCCACCACAAAGGCTTTGGGTTCTCAAATTCTGATTCCCATGCAGGGCTTCCAGGACAGGACACCGCTGAGAGCTAAAGACTGGCAGTCTTGTGGAGCGTGGGCTTTCTGTACTTGTCTTGGCACTGGGTATGGGCATGGGTGGGGCCCAGGCAGGCTGGAGCTGATGCTGCCTTCCTCCCCAGGATGGCAGGCATGGTGCTGGGAGTGGGTGCTGGCGTGTTCATCCTTGCCCTGCTCTGGGTATTGGTGCTGCTGCTGTGTGTGCTGTTATCCAGAGCCTCCGGGATAGCTAGGTAAGGCATTCTTTCCAGCTGGGAGTCCTAGGTAAAAGCAATTAGAGGCGAAATCGCTGATGCTCATTAAACATTTAGAATTCAGAAGATCATTTTTGTAATTACTGGCAGTTTGAATGAGTTGCATTTTAACCTCTTATCATAAGCACTAACTGTGTTATTTATGCTCTGAAGCAGAGGTGGGAGGAGAAGGGAAGTGTATTTTTTAGTTCTTACTGTGGAGAAGATGGGGGAAACAAAAGATGACAAGAAAATCTGTTTTTACTGCCTATTGAATTTCCTGGAGTTGTATGTGGGAGTTTTTCTTAATTGTGAAGATTTATGATATACATGCTTAGTCTGGTCCCTAAGACTCTAGACCTGGGCCAGAGGAAACTACAAAAACATTCTGTGGGTTGGATCTGCCCTTCTATCAGGCACTGATTTTGGAGAACAGAGTTAAACCATAAACTGACCCTGAAAATACGGCAGAGTTGTACTCTGGTGAGGCAGTGTCAGCAAGAAGCAGAGTTACAGTGTTTACTAATGTGTTCTGGTCTGAAAACAACTGACATGAACATGAGGAGGGGCTGCTTTGATTTTTATTGGTTATGATTTCATGCAGAAACAAAAAAATGAATTCCCAACATTGGAATTTGACATTACCCAGAAGAAACAGGAGCGCACCCAGCTGGTGCCTGTCTAGGAGAGGTTCGGGATGGAGGGCGCTGTGGACAGCAGGCCTTTGGGCATTGTTAAGGGACAGAAGCGTAGAGTCCTGGCCCCAGGAAGTAGCCATTCGGGGCCTGATTAGTGAAGGAACTGTTAACAGTGCTTTCAGTGAGTACTTCTCTTTCGGACCACAGGTTCTCTCTCATTTTTGTATTCCTCACTGCTCTGATCATCACATCCGTTCTGTTACTCTTCCCCCGAGCCAGTGAATTTCCAGCCCCAGGAGTCGAAATGAAGGTAAAGCTGTTGGTTTTAGTACTGTGCTTCCAGATCCAAACCTGCGTTCTGCTGTGCAACCTGAGATGTGTCAGAATTGTAACTTTCAGATAACCATGGGGAAAGCTCAGGAGGAACTTTGTGCCTTGAGCTTGACCAGCCACCCAGGAAAGAAATCTTGTAACTTCCACCTGTAACACTGCCAGGCAGTGGTTTATCTGGTTTAGTCTCATCTCCAACTTGCATCAAGTTTATAATGATGTGTCCAAAGGCCACCTCCTACTACCAGGACAGAGAAAGAGAAAATAAACTAGGAATGGGAACAGACCTGCTTCTGAAGTGAGATATTCCTCTTCCCGTAGCCTTGGTTCAGAACTTTAGATCCTGGGCCCAAGCCCTTAGACTGCCCTCAGCCCTCCGACTTGCCTTTCCATTTCCCTGAGTACACTTTTTCCACCTTTGATGTACAGAGAATTATTTCCATAGATAAGGGCAGCAAGAAAGAGGAACATCTCTGTGGAAAGCAGAAGGTAAAGATACACATGGATTTAGCCAGGCGTGGTAATGCACACCTGTAATCATAACTCCTTGGGAAGCTGAATCAGGAGGATCACAAGTTGTCCAGGCCAGCCTGAGCAACTTAGTGAAGCCCTGTCTCAAAACACAAAAATTTTTTAAAGGGCTGTGGATGTAGCTCAGTGGTAGTGCTCCCCTAGGTCAATCCTTAGTAGTGCAAAAAGAAAAAAGAAAGCTATAGATCATGGCATATGTGCTGCGGTGGGCTGTTTGTATCATTGAAAGCTCTAAAAGGTTCACCCTCACTGCTATAGACAAACTCAATACTAACAGCTCCTAGGTCTTCATTGACCATGTCTGCCAGCTCCCACCTCTGTGAGTGAGCTTTCATCACCTCTCATTGTCCTTTTCCTGGGGCACTGCCTATCCTGGCTCAGCCCTAATGTGGTGCTCCGGCTTGACCAAGCACAGCTGGTCTCAAACCAATAGGATATGAATAAGGGTATGGATCTCTTCCATCTCATTACTCCTTCTCATAGCCTCTTTCTTCTCGACCTCCATTTTAATGTTTAGGTAGAATGATGATAATAGCTAACGCTTCTTAAAGGATTGCTGTGTGCCAGCTTCTGTGATAAACACGTTTGTACCATCTCGTTTAAACCACAGCACAGGGCCAGAGATTTAGCTCTGTGGCACGGTGCCTGCCTTGGAAGTGCAAGGTCCTGAGTTCATTCCCAAGTACGGAGGGAAAACAAAAACCAAAAAACAATAAACTGCAGGACAGCCCTAAGTAGCTTCACATAAACATTTTATAGGAAAGGATGTGGAGGCTGTAAGAGATTAAGGTAACCTGACCAGGTCATATATACACATAAGAGAGAGAGCAAGGACTTGAGCTGAGATCTGTCTTAAAACAATCCTCAGTGTTAGCAGAATGGCAGGGGCCACCCCAGAGGACTCACAGGTTATCAGTGTGATACTGTAGAACCATACACAAACTTAGATAATTTTTAGACTACAATAGACACACTCCCCACTCTACCTAGAGACTGAAGCATGGAAAAGGGAAGGAGATTAGTCCTGAAAACTCACGGAAAATAATGCCACACAAATTCAAGGCATTATTTCCATGGATGTCGGTTTTTGTTTGTATGTGGAAACTACCCTGAAGGTGTAAGTACCGTGTGTAGGAGTGAGGGGTAAATCCCCACCTCAGTGTCCTTGTCTGTAAGGTGAGAAGTGACATCGGCTGTGTATTTCCACACTGAGTAGACGTGACTGGCTACATGGTACCAAGCTAGCACAATTTTGAAATCCAGGTCTATTCTCCAACATTTGATTTTCAGACTCCAGAGAAAATCGAATTTGAGCAAAATATGTTTGTCAGTGTGGCCGCCAAATTGAAGACCTCGTTTTCAGGTTTGGAGATCCAGCCCTTGCAGCAGCCCGGCTCAATACTGTATCAATAATACATGACCTGGGCCTTGTGCTTCCAAGGCCTGCTAATTGGCTAATTAAAAAGTGAAACAGTTGAAGGAGCAAACATGTGGCCCACAAGAGACTCCTTCAGTACTGAAACCAAGGTCAAAGTTATGTTAAAGCTGTTGTATCAAACTGACCCTTGTCGGTAGTTGACTGTTGGGGTGCTCTCCAGAGCAACCAGGGTGTCTGCAGCTGTCTTGGTGTCTGTGGAACTCAGTGATCCTTTCAGTGCTTGGGTTGGCCAGACACTTTGTCTATCCACACTGTATTAGTTTTCCATTGCTGCAGTAACAAATTACTGTAAATGTAGTGGCCTCACAGCTCTGCAGAAGTCCAAACAAGTCTCACTGGGCTCCAATCAAGGGGTTGGCAAGGGCTGCGTCCCTTCTGGAGGTTCCAGGGAAGAAACTATTTCCTCGCTTTTCCAGCTGCTGGAGCTGCCCCCTTTTCTCCATCTTCCAAGCCAGCAGTGCAACTTGCATCTCTCTGGTCCTACTCCCGTCCTTATATCTCTTTCTTTAATTTAAGGACCCTTGTGATGACATTGGGCCCATCTGGATTGGGCACTCAGGGCTAACCTTCCTATTTTAAGGACAGCGGATTAGTAATTTAATTCCTGTTGCTGTGTAATCTAACATAGTCTTAGTTTCTGGGGATCGGGATGTGGACATCTTTAGGCCATTATTCTGTCACCTCTCAATTATTTTGGATTCTCTTCTAGCTCTGGGCTTTCAAAGTTTCTGTAAAGTCAGACAGTCACAGTCACTTGGTTTGTGTTGCTGCTCCATTAGGTCTGTACATTAAATTGCATTTTCCTGCCCAAATTTAAGCATCACCGTTTGGCTCTGGGGACAGTGGAGTTCTGGCAATGGACAGCAGGTAAGCAGGTAGAGCCAACACCAGTCACATGCTTTTGTCAGCAAAGACGAATAGAATGAGGGCATCAGGTACAACTGGTTTACCATATCACAGGGCAAATTCCTTATCCTTTTTCAGTATTTTATTTATTTATTTATTTAATTTTATTTTTTTGGTACCGGGGATTGAACTCGGGTCCTTGCACTTGCAAGGCAGGCCACCAAACCGCTGAGCTAAATACCCGGCCCCATTTTTCAGTATTTTAGTTTCTCAAGCAAATGGCCAG